TTAAAGCAGTTTCCTGTGGCCCCGAGATCCAGTCACAGTGCCATCTCTTCAAGAACAGTGCTGCCTAACGAGTTAAGGCTTCGATGATCACTTATGGGAGAGTATAGAAGACATATACTCTAACTCTAAAGAATTCCCTGGAGAAGTCCAGTTACTTCTCTGACAGGGAGAAGTTACAGAATTGCCTAATGGATAGCACCTTATCTAAGAGTAAGGAAACCTAAGATACAGGCCCAAAGTAAGCCCCACTATTCTATCATTCAGTATCTTCCCCGGAATGTTCAAAACAGAATAATGTCTCCCTCCCTCAAACTTGCTCCTCCTCCCATATTCCTGGCTTGGTGACCGACCAGTATTGTCGTCTTCTTGGTGCTCTCTGGCTCCTTCTTCACCTACATTCCACTTCCTTTGCTCCAGCTTTGCCTACTATCTTGGATTCTACTTTGGCAGCACCTCCTGCCTGCGTCTGAATTTCCACTGTTGCTTCACCTAGACTATTGCAATATTCATTCAGCAAATACTCAGTGAGCCCACCAGTGCTCAAAGGCCGTGCGTTTAGCTCCGGGCATACAAACCAGAGCACAGTAGTGCTTATGGGGGCTTATGTTTTAGTGGAAGAAACAGAGCAAAAACAAGACAATAGACAAACCAGTTATGAATTATGTAGGTACTTTAAAGGAAACAAAACAGGCTAAGACAAAGACGAAAGGATCAGGTAGATGACTCGTCGGTCTCTTCTTTTCTACCACCCCACACATCGCTCCCATTCTGTGCTTTCCTGGTTTTTCTCATAGGGCTTTCTCTAATGGAACACTTTCTCTCCACCCTTACCTGGCAATTCAAATGCCACATCCTCATGAAAACTTTTTTGATCCTTCCTACTCAGCCATCCTCTTCCTCTCAATTCATTTCTTATGTCATTCATTGCACTCTGCATAGTTATCTGCATACATGGATCATACCCCCAAGAAGACTATAAGCTCCAGGAGGACAATCATTTTTCAACAACTTTGTCTCTTCGCCACAGTCCCTTAAACGGGTAGACATTTAAAAAATGAATAAAAAAATATTTTTCCCCCATTGTGGCTAATACCACTACTGGCCCTCTTTCATAGGGTCATTATGAAGCTCAAATAAAATTCGAATTGTGAAAGTGCTTCGAAAAAGAAAAAAGGTCAGTACAAACAGAAATTGCTTTGTAATCATCATTAAAGCAAGCATCGCTCTGGGAACCTGCCCACACAGGATGGCCAAGTACGGAGCTGGCTTTTCCAGCCCTTGGTAGATGGGAGCACAAAGGCTGCTCAGGTATTTAAATAGCAAAACATTTTAGGCTGTGGCCTTGATGGTTTGTTGTCTCCTTTCCCCATTACCTACTTGTGATCACAAGACTAAACCAGTACGCAGAAGCCTGGACTTTTGCACTGTACTTTTCTGCAGAACTGAGTGGCTAAGAGCCAGAATGCCTCGGTTTGAATTCTAACTCTACTACTTCCTTGCTTCCTCCAGCAAATTATTGAACCTCTCTGCTTTCATTTCCTCATGGGGTTGTTTGTAAGGATTTAATGATTAAATACAACACACATAAAACAACATTGAAAACGATGCCTGGTTCAAAGCAAGCAAGCAATCATTATCAAAGTTATAGGAGTCCACTGTGCTTCCTGGTACAGGGCATCAGAGGCGGTTCCTAGGAGCTAATCATGATTGCTGGTGTGTGTGGTTGTGAACAAATACACCACGGAGGGGGCATGGGAGTGGGAAAGTGTTGCTGCAGTGGGCAGAACAGACCAGAGGTGTTTGAAATGCCTCAAGAGTGTGGCCGAGTAACTTGAGTTTAGGTAGAGAAAGTTTGGCTGCCATAAGAGGCTCAAGGCTGTCATTCAAGTGAAAGTGTCTATCAAGTGGCTGTGAGGTGCACTAAAAAAATGAAACAGAGAAAGGCCTCCTCTCATTTTCGACTTTCATCTTTTGAAGTAATGAAAAGAGGTTGGGAACATGGTTCTCGGGTGATGTGGTGCACTGGGCTTCGGCACTACTGCCAAGAGGAGTAAACCTCAGTTACTCTTTGTTTCCAACACATCCCGAGTGAGAAGCCAGGTGAGACAACAGTGATCTGAGCAGTCATTCCCTATCATTCTCTACCTCCGGGGAAAGATGGAACTATCCCTTTTCAAATCCCAAACTGCATCACTCCATGAAAACATTTTTTCTCCCATAGGAAACAGACTGGGACACAATTAAGCAATGCTGTCCTACTGGGTCAAAAGTAGCCTGAAGGTAAAAGTTGCTCATGTTCTGTTCCCCAAAGATAGATGACAACAAAGGGAAACGCAATGTTTGGCATTTTAGTTGGGGGAGAGAAAAGTGGCCTACACAGGACTCCTTGAATAAACAAGGCTTTTCCTCAAAGGGCTTTGGGTGGAAGGCCATCAAAGCAAGTGGTAGATGCTCCTCCCAGGAAAATCTCATAGGAAGGCTGTCTGTTGGCTAAGATAGGTGGCTCAGGGGTTCCTCTTAGTCAGATGCCCAGAATAAGCCACAGCCTTCCTGTCGAGAATTCTGAAATGTGGTCTCCAATGCAAATAAAGACTACATTGTAGAATCAGTGCTGGAGTGTGTCCAAACCCTTCCTCCGTGTCCTTTGAGTCATTTGGAAATGGTTAACAAATGGGCTGAACACCTGGGCTGATTATCCCTGTAGGGGATTTCCAAACACTCCTTATTGTAAAATCATCTCTTCCCTTCCCAAAGCAATTCAGTTCCAATCTCTCTGAAGTGTGCCTTAAAGATCCCAAAATGTCTAACTCTATGATTCTAGGCTTCCTAAGTTAGAACAGTAACTGCTGCTGACACAAAGAAACAAGGAGCCAAGCAACTTTGTGCTTTTTAAAGTTTGTTTTGAATTAAGAGGAACAGATGTCCAATGTTTCAAAAAGCCACACATTTGTGGATTTGGCTGACAAACCCTCTAAGCGGCATTTCATTTCTGTTCCCATAGAGTCAGCCAGCCACTTACAACTGACTCACTCTTTGGGCCACAGTTTGGGTCAGTCTCCCAACTACAGAATTAGAATCCCAGATCTCAAATGAATCCAGGGTGTTTGGGTGGAGAGCGGGGGCCATCTAAAACAATTTTTTTTCCTTTTAATTTAGTAGTATCAACACCCACACAGCAAACTGCAAGGCCAGTAGGTCAAAGAGAATGAGCAAACAGTTGGCACCTGCCTATCTCAGCGCCACGCAATTCTAAAGGCAATGAGTAAGCAGCTGTCCAGAACAGGTTTTTGTTACAATCCTGCTTATGAGTACTGTTTAAATATGCAAATACAGGTTATTTGCTGCAATTCAAGGCCTCACCCCCAAGGCAAACGCATTACCTCAGGTGAACTCTTGGCCTTGCTGGGAAAGGAAATACAGGAACCCAGGCCCCTGATTACCAGACACAAATGACTCAACTGCTTCTAGAATTTTAAAGTACACTATGTGCTTTCTTTTCTTGTTGTCTTTGAGAATAAAGGAACAAAACACTTCAGATGGCAGTTTGGTGCATTTCATTTACCATGTTTTGTGGAGCTTTGATCAATGTTAGAGATGGAATGTTACTTGGCTTTCAAAACTGGCTATTAAACTTCTGCTTAGGTTGTTTTAAGTTCTTGTGAGCACATTAATAACTATGAATAAAATAAACCATTTTTGTTTCTCTAACAGGAATGAGACTTGCAGGTCTAGAGGAAGATCTGGTATGCCACCAAATCACTTTCTCAAAAAAAAAAAAAAAAAAAACCCAAAAAACACAACTGTTTAAAACCTACTTATACCTAGCAAATCTCACTAGGTATTTTGGATGGGAGTTTCTAACAAGGAATTAAAAGCTGAGTCTCCTTTTTTTCCCTCTACCTTACAGATTTTTTAGTATTAACTGTCTTATAAAATGTCAACATAAGGTGGGAAGGTTAGAAGTTATTTTCAATTATTTCATAGGAAATTTTGTGTATCTGTGCCTCGTATCTTAACTAGGCTAGCTGGGGGCTTATTTTTAGATTTAAAAAAAGTTTTGGTCTTATTAAATCAAGTCATTAGTTCATTAATTTCTGCCCTTTAATTTGTATCTTGGATTTGACTTAAGATACCATCTACTCCAAAATATGGGTGTATATGCTGAAGTTAAAAACATCTGATTTTGGATTGTATGCAACGTTGTAAAATTCTTGCACATGCATCAAATGCTCTATCTTTGATGAATTAAAAATCTGGAATATACGAACGTGCATGGCAATATTTTACATTTTATCTGATTTAATCTTTAGGATGATCTGGCTTATCTATATCTGTATCTGTTTTTATAGATGAAATGTAGTTCGAATTAAAAACTTTCTGAAGGTCATTTCGTGTTAGGGGTAGAAATCATTAACACATCGAGGCAAGCGGGTTTTAGAACATATTTAAGGGCTTTTTGATGCTAACAGGCTGGGAACTTCCACCTCCACATATGGGTCAGTCAAAACACAACTCACCCCAGAGTACAAGAGGGCAATCAATTCTTTAGCTTAATGCATTATCTGTACTCATTGAATCAGTGTTGAGTGACTAGTGGTAGACAGCCTCATGTTGTCCTAAAATAATATAGTATAGGGCACCCTGGGAACATGAACTGAACTTGTTCGTATAGGAGCATTTGTTACTACATACACTGAGTTAACTTGTGTGCTTCAGAAGCCTCACTCCAGCATTGTCCTTTTCTGGATTTTTAGAGAATGGATACAGTGGCTATTATCCCAATGAAAGTAAAAAATCTTCTTCCAAGCCCCACACTCCAGATTAAGTATAGACACAATACAAAACTGTGCCTGTTTCCACAAGATGTCGTTTTAAAGGACCGCTCCATACAGTACCTAAGTGTAGGGACTGCTGATGTATTGCACTGGATTTACTCCTTGACAATTATTGAGACATGACAAAACATTGCAAATATTTAAGGCACAAAATGAGTCTTAAAGTAGAGATGGAATCAGAATTCCCAGGTCCTTTTTTTATTTGCAGTAATATCAAGGTATCCATTTACAAAGTTTTTGGTCTCCTATCAGCTGGAATTAACTAGGGATATCTTTGGGATCATGTAGTTGTTTGCGTCCACTTTTGATGGACACAAGAAAGGAACAAATCAACCACGGGAACACAAGAGAAGCATACTACTCCAGCTGGAATCCAACAGGATCACCTGAGCATGCCACACTTAGTGGAGGAAAGGAGGAGAAAAAGGAAGAGAGCTGCTCTTCATTTGTTTTCAAAGCAAATTCATTTGAAAGAGCAAACAAACCAATCATTAAGTTAATCACTTAGAGCTTCAGCCTAAGACACATCGTTTTTTCTTTTTCTAACACCTTACCCTGAAATAAATTTACCAATAAATCCCAAAGATTTAGTACAAATAGTACAATTCATATTTGCTTTCCTCTTTCTTTAGACAAACACCAAATAAAATGCAGGTGAAGATGAAACACAACTGGAAGATTAGAAATTTACACTAATCCTAAAGAATCTAAAAAATTATGTTGTTAATTGAAGCTATCTAAAACAAAGCATTTGGGTACTGTTTTTCAAGTAAGATAACAGTCATACTGCTAGAAAGTCCCTGGGTGAGGGAGAAAAAACCTTTTCAAAACCCGCAAGGCAGGTTGCTTACACTTTATTTATTTAGCTGTGGTGATGCAGACTATCCCAATTTTCCATAAAATCATCTTGATATTGCTGCAATACCATGGCATAAGAGATTCAAAGTGCCACTAGACATAAGGACCAAAGTTTCTGATCATAAACCATGACTGAGGGTAATGTTTGAATGGGAACATTTGATATGGATGGTCAGATGAAAGATACCAAAATGTCAGACAGCCCATCGACTGCTGTTGCCATGAGATTCAACAGTCAACATCAGTCTGATAAGCTACCCGACAAGGTGGTACAGCCATGGAGATGTCACGACGGTAGGCAAAACAAGCAGACATTCAGGCAGGATTTGATAAATCAGGCATTTCTGGCCTGCTGAGATTTAAACCCCATTCTATTCTTAACATAATGTCAGTACCAATTTTCCTAAGGGAAAAAAGTGAAATTGTTTATTTTCCTCCCAAGCAAAAACAAAATGACCAAGTTAAACCAGAAATATCCCAAAAGAAAAATCACATAACAAAATACTTACTGAAAAAGGCAAGAAAATTAGGTTATTTTAAAAAAGAAATTTGTTAAAAACGAGTACATGCTGAGCTAAAATTAACATATGAAGTTGTGTTTTCTTTTTAAATGAGTTATTTCTCTCTCCAGTGTTCTTTGATTTATATACTACCAACTGTTTTCACAAACCAACTGTTTTCACCTCACTACAGCAATCCCTAAGGTGTCATTTCAGCAGTGTGTAGCTAGCTGTCCAATTCCAGCCTAACACAACATGTCCTGGTGGTGGCTCTTTTCATGCAAAGAAATGAAGGCTTAAGAAATTATGGATTTGGCAAGGATGCCTGCCAATCAGTTAGTAGAAGCTAAAAGGAAGTGAAAAATCAAAACGCTCAAGAAAACAAACACAATTTTGGAATGATCAAAGAGGTCTTTATAAAGTTTTTTATGACTTCATTCTAAATATACAGAATAAAAAATGGTGTCAGTTCATTTGTGAGACACCAACCAGTTTTTCCTTATACTGTCTCAAAATTTAAAGATCAATTTCCCAAGAGGGTGTGCAATGCATCATAAAATGGCCTTTTTTTGTAGGTGGGAAAGGAAGGGTTGGGCACGATGGCATCTTAAATTTTATCATGATAGACATGCAAGGCTATCCAATCTAGTATAATTTATATACATTTTGATGACTCAAAAACAAAGCAGTCATTTTTGACAAGCCTAAAAAGCTTGACATATTTAACATATTTAGGAACTTTTTTTTATGGTGTCCGGAATTCTTTAATTGTACCACGTGGGCCTTTTGAAAGTAAAACAGAAGGCCAGTTACTCTTAAGTTTGCTGCTGAACATCACATTCCACCCTAATAAAACACAACTTGAATTAAATTGAGGGTGGATACCTTACCTTAACACACAAAGGAAACGAATGTCAGTGCAAAATATGGACTAATCTGCTTTCAGGGGAAAAAAAAATTAAAGTGATACAGGATGGAAAAGGGAATTTTCCTTCCTGGTTTCGAGTCCTCCCAATTAAGGCAGAACCCATCTATTATAATTTCTTCTGTTAAAAACATTTCCTGCTTATTTAGTTTTCTCCTCTGAGTTCAACCGCTGCTGGATTCTTTTGGCATAACTTTGTGCCATGGAGTTAATGATGGACAGGATGAAGTAACACACCATTACAACGACCAACTTCTCAAACACCCAGGACAACCAGTTTTCTCCCTGCAAGAATAAATGCAGAACAATCAACGAGAAACGCTTCATCAATTCAGTAGTAACTAGGGGATCATCTACGTTTTAAGGAAAATAATGATAACTTTGAGCTTGTAACCTATAAAGCCTGAACAATTAAAGATGAAAAGTCTTGTGTCTCCAGCTACTCTGAAATATATATTCAAGACCTTTTTACATCTAGTTATTAATATTTCACTTTGTCGGTTATAAAGTCAATATTGATTTATGTAGTTTAGAATAAAGTCTTTGATTAAAGTCTCCACATAGACACTGTATAGGGTAGTTACATATTCTTGTTCCAATATTGGGGCAGCTTTTAAAAGATAAGTTATTTCTGAAAGCATACTTGGTCAACTGAGGGCAGCAAAGGACCACATAGAGTATAAGGCCATCAAAAAAAAAATAATCCAACTATGTTCCCCTCATGTTTCCCATTTCAGGTCATTTCCCTTTGTCACAAAACTATTTACAGGAAAAGCAGGCTGAGTTTAATTTAAAGTTTTTATGTTCAGCTATATTAAAGCCTTGGTTTATTAAAAAATGATTATTTCCGACCTCTGAAAAGTAGTGCAAAAAAAAAAAAAAAAAAGAGCTATTTAAGTGACTTCAGTAAGTCCAATACTTTGTTACGCTATAAACTTTAACTTTTAAAGCCACTCAGGAAGTATACTTGCTTATTAATAAGTCATTTAATATCGAGGCATTAACTTATTCTATGTAACAGATCTATTACTTTCCATTAGCTCATTTAGCCAAATTTCCCAGTAAACAGCCTCAACTTTTGTTAGGGAAAGCTGACAAACAAACCTCACTCTATTTGCCTAAAAATGCCAGTGAGTGCTGTGACTACAGTTTCAGCCTCAAGCGGTGGGGGTGAGGAAGAGAAGAAAACGGGAGTAAAGTCTCACCTGCGGTGTGCCCGTTTCGCTTTTGTGGTGAAGCTTCTGCCGCTGGGCTTCCAGGTATTCCTGGAATGGCTTCTGCAGAGATGGACCTATGCCGGGGACAGCACTGGAGGCCCGGTACAATAACCCAAGGAACAAGATACATTCGGGAAGAAAAGAAGGAATAATGTTAATGAAAAATCCACTTACCGTCTGGAATCAAAAAGCAGGGATGGAAAGAGGAAAAGACTAAAACTATCAGCAGAGCTGACACAATCTTGTGAACTCTTTTTAGAGGACAAAAATTCATCCTTTAACAACCCCTTAAAGGAGAAAACGCTCTCCCACCAACATGTTTGGGAGAAAGTAGGAGCTGAGCTTCCTCCTAGCATTAGAGTTCCTCTTCAGAGAGAAGCGAACTTAGCTGATGCTGCACACTGATGTGGTACAAAGAATAAAATGAATGACTTCTGAGAAGTCCCACATTTATCACCACCAGTTCCTGTAAGAACTGGTTTGAACCGATTAATAAGGAAATGACTTATGCTTGTGTCATCCCTAGTTGAAAAAGAAACTGCCCGCCCTCTCTCTGACTTGTCCCATCTTCTCAGAGGGGGCGGTCCTTTCTCAATCTAAGTCCTTATTAGGACAATCTGTGCGTCATCCTTTTCCAAAAAGAATGCATTAGCAAATTTGGGAGGCACCTCCCACTAGTCAGAAGTCAGTGATTAACAAAGGAACAAAGAAGGAACTATGAACCTTGAATCACTTCGTGGTTTATTGTAGATGGTTCGCACAGAAACTACAGTACATTACTAAACAACTTGTTCTGAGATGACTGAGATGGTGATCTCTGATAAGTTTATGTACTCGGAGCTCCCTCTCACCCAGAATAAGTGGAGGCAGTGCTATTAAACCATTTTGGCGACTGCAGCTTCCAACTCCCCTTTAAAAATGCTTGAGGTGTTTTTTTTTAAATGGTAACTTGGGGCAACTTAGAAAACCAAACATATGTATTTTCTGAACACTGTATTTCCTCATCTGTCACAATAGGGCTAAAAGGTAAACGAGCCCAATCTCTTTCCTGGGGCCAGCAAAAGGTATTTCAACATATGCCTAATGCTCTCCCTTTTAAGTAACTATTAACTTCACATCCTTGTATCTAGAAAAATTCAGTTGCTGCTTTCTGTAATAAAAAGCAGAAGAGTAGAGGAAGAGAATTTTTGCTACTGTATTTATCGGAAGCTAGCAAATACAAAACTCCTGGCTGGCACTTTTCTTTAATCATTTTAATTATCAATCACCAAACACTTAATGGAGTCTTTGTTTTGTGTTCAACACTGTAATTGGTACTATGGGGAAAAAAAAAACTGCAAGAAATAGGACATCCCCCCAGGGGACTTAAAATCATGGGGATTCAAAACACACACACACACACACACACACAGCACATCGAACTGATTTGTGAACAAAAGAATTTTCAAATCAATACCAATTTTTTTTCGTACAGAAGATATACTCCAAAGGAACTGGAGGGAGAAAGGAGAGGTCAGTGTGGGGTGAAGCTGTCCTTTAATGATTACTGCAGGATATGTAAAAAGCCTTGAATAGACATATGTAGTAGAGGCAGTGGCTGGAAGGGCGGAAGTCTCTTAACAGATAGTCTCAGTCTCTCTCTCTCTGACTTTTAAGTGGCCTTACATTAGTGAGGTAAACCAGAAGAGGAGTGTCTGAGCTATGTTGCTGTTCATCAGTTCTGACTGACTGCAAAGGGAGAAATAACTTTCTTTAGAAGATTTTCCTGATGTAGTTCCTTATGTAATGCAGGAGGGAATGCGAATAGCTCATCCATTTACACTTGAAACAAACCACAAATATATAAAAAAATAAAAATTCCAGTAAAATACATACACAAAAAGACTAGACCGAAGACTGCAGATTTATAAGAACTTTCCTTCAGAAGCCGATTCATTCACACTTAATGCCCTAGGCCCTTATTTTAAACTCTCAAGGAGAGCCATAGGACAAGCCACGATTTATTTTTTGAAGGTTAAAAAAAACCTTTTATTTAGAAAGGCTGAAATGACTGTATGATAATTTGAACAGCTAGGTTGTACAAGAAATGACTTGAAAATTTCCTTTTTTGATGTCCTCCAGGAGCTGGATACCACTGAATGTGTTTTGTTCTTTCTTCAGTCCTCTAACTTCACACTGGAGTTGAGCAGAAATGCTTACAGTTTCACTCAAATCATTCCTGGGCTCCAGGGGCAAGTCATTCTTTAAAAATTAAGAACCAAGACCCAATGCTTGGAAGTTTCTACTTTTCTGTTGTTGAGAGGAATGAGGGTGGGACTGACAATAATCATTCTAGATGCTCTACAAAATAATTTGAAAAGATACAAACGATTCGCCTTGTAAATTCACTTTAGCTGATAGAGAATATGTCATTATATAATTACATGATATGCAACTTTCAAAAAATCATCTTGGGCTAATGCTGAGATGAACTTTTCAAGGTGCTATGGTGTTACATGCTTTGGAGAGTTTTTGGTGGTGGGGTGGGAGATGCAGTTTATTACAAAAGACTAGGAAAACAGTTGAAAATAGAGAGCTTAAGAGTTTTTATAGAACATATTAATCAAAATCATCATGAACAAATGCCATATGATCTGAATAAATTTTAAAAAGTTAACATTTAAAATCTGGGTATTAAGTGTTATATAAATAATTACTTGTCAGATCCTCTTAATCTGTTTTATATATTTATCAAAACTTTAGTTTTATCTCTCTCTACAAACAATGGCTTAGGCCACAGATGGCCCAGCTTATTATACAAAGCACATATACTAGAGCTTTCTTAATTAACACTAAAGCTATTTTAGCAATAGACTAGATAAAAATGAAAATTATAGCTGTCACTATTAACACGCATTTAAGGCAAACAATAATACCAGCCTGCAGCCTCATCTCTGTCCGGTCTGACATTTAAGATTAATTTAAGGTACATATATGGAGGAGTCGGGGTGGGGGAAAGGACTAACTTGCATCACAGTTCAGTGGCTTTTTATAGTTGGCTTAGGAAATAACTTAAATGCCATTCTCTGAAAGCCGTTAAATTCAGAGTATCCTGTGCACCTGGCTAAGAATGCTCATCTCAACCCACAGTGAGTGGGTAAAGTCCTGCATCTGCCATTAGGTGCTGATTAAATTCAAAGTATTACAGTTTTGTGATATAGAAGAATAAAAAGTAGGAGGAGAATGAACACATAGAACTATTTTTCAGTCAACTGTTGGACTTAAATATGCTTAAACTAGCCTTGTAAATAGCTACTTTTCTCTAGGTAAAAAAGCCTTAAATCAAACAAACAAACAAAACAGAAAAGAAACCCAAAAATCGATCTCATCTCCTTGCTACAGACCTTAACATAGTAGGCGGAAAAAGCTTTATAGATACTAATATCTTGATATTTATATTCTTGGAACACATTTTTCAGGTAATGTAACTCATTAAAAAACAAATTTTCAACAAATTATTCTTTTGAACTTTGTTAATGATTTAATAAAGGAAAAAAACAAACCAACCCTCAGAAAATGCAAACAAAAGAGGGGGAAAAAAGTAAAATAAAAAAAACACAGAAATCCAACCACTCTCCCATCCCCCATCAGAGCTCAAAAGAGGTTTCTTGGGAACAATATTTTGCCATGCTAACATACCTAAGTATGTGTTAAACAGAAACAAGACAAACTTCTTTGCAAAATTTTGTCAAGGGCCCTGACCAATATGCAAAGAAAATCTATTATTTTTCTGTAGTTTTTAATACGTATATGACTTTACTTCTGGAAATAACTTATCTGATAAGACATATGCATTTTAACTTCTCCCCATGTTGACCCATTATAAATAAAGATCTGCTTTATTCTCTGTACCCACAAAACCAGAAAACCATCCAGAGGAAGCATCACAACTGGCAGAGATTGCATAGAGTGGGTGGTGTGATTACTCCAGTTTCTCACAATGCTTAAATTTTCATTTGTGGGTTAGTCCTGAGCACACACCCATTCCAAAAATTCATCCGTCATTATTCCTGTTTTCAAGGGACTCCTTTCAAATTGTGTAACTCTCAAACTGGTTCACCAGATACAAGAAACATATCATTTGATTTACTTCGAATCTCTTCATCACAGAGATAGTCATCGAAGTAGGACTTGCTATTAGAAGACCTGAAATTTTCCTGTTCATGATTATTTGGATTTTTCCAGCCAGGTGTGTGTTTTTTGTTACTATGTGCCATTGTAAAGTTGGGGCACAATGCTTAATAACACAGAAATAACATGAACTTAAAAAAAATTGATTTGTCTTATTGTTTAGCCCTATTTACACAGGGCCTATATAACGTTTAAGCAGTTGAAATGCTTAACAGAATTAAATGAGTATTAATCAAGTAAATTTTTTATTTACTATAGGCTTTGTTCCCTTCTTACCACTTTTTTTGAGGATCTTAGCATTAATGTGATCATGTGGGTTACACCGGCTTTCCCCAAAACATACTGTCTGTCGTGGTTTCCTAGTATGTTCTAGAGGGTAATAAGCCTTTATCTTTCTTAGAAGAAAGTGTGGGCACAATGGCTTTTACCTTCGTTTCACTGTAAGTACTTTGAGGATGATTTATTTTACATCCCTCTGATGGTTACTCAGAATGTCTAGGGTATTATTAGTCAAACCTTTGACAGCTTGTGAATTTGAGAGTATGTTTTTAGAATAAGATTCAAGTCAGGGGTAGTATTAAAGAAAGGGAAGAGAAGGGTTTAATCAATTCTACTGCTGCTATAATTAAGAAAGCATAATAGAGACCTTTTGAAATAGACTGCCAGTAATGACCAGTACTTTTCAATGCATCTTTTAAGAGCAGAGGAGCCTAGACCAATGGTCTGCAAACATTTCTGATATATGTATATATTACTTATGCAAATAGTAAAACACACAAAAACAAGTTAAAAAGCACAAAATAAAGATTAAATTAAAAAAAATTTACTTTAAATGGCTTGCTAATTATAATGGCAATCATGCTATCCTTAGTGACAATTTAAAAGCATACTATATACTTGTCCTTTCACTATAAATTAAAA